TAAAGCACTTAGAATTCGCAAATTGTCGGGACTTTTTTAGACCGTTGCATTCGCTTCCCCGCTACACTCCTGATTTGATTTTTCTTTATTATAGTGTTGTCTTGTCAGACAGTTTACATTTCTCCTGTGAAATACATAATTGGTTACAATAGTGCTTATTATCTATTTTTTAATAAAGTTATATAACTCATTCTGACTTTGTTTTTCTTTACATTTCTCTTTTACTTACTTAGTTCTATCTTCCTACTACTAATACTATCACTACTCCTCCTACCTTGCTCTAACATAAAATTCAAAAAAAAAGAAAGGAATTTTTTTTTACATACATATATCATACCACATTTTTTTTCCTAAATGTAAATTATTTACACGCTTTCACCGTCTTATCGCTATTCCGGGCACTAGATGCCCTTACTTTATTTCTATTAATTCTTATCGGTTACTTATTTTAAATATTACATTTTAAGTTGCGATTCGTCCAAAAAGGAAACTATAGCCTTGTATACCTTGAGTTTGTGCATAGTTAACAAACCGTATATACTTCTGCCTGTTTCTTCTATTTCTTTCCCTATTTTCCCATACAGGTTCATTCTTTGCAAATTATACAGGGAGCATTCAAACATGACATGTTCGATAGTTTCTTCCCCTTGACCACATTCACAATTTTTGTCGTCTAATGTCCCTTTTCTACCCAAGGACTCTTTTAAATTATAGTGATTTGCTCTGATTCTAGCTATTGCCCTTATGGCATCTCTACTTAAAATTCTCCTGAATTTGTAAAACCAGGCTTTGAACTTACTCTTTTTCTGGATCTCCCATAGATTTTCAAAATACAAGGTCCCCTTTTCTTTCCCTATATTCTCAACTTTATTTGAGAATTGTTCCCAAATCATGTCTTTGATTTTCAAAACTAGGTCTCAGTATGGGATTATTCAACTCTATTTCATGTGCTATTTCTGTTCGTTTTTTTGCCGTATCGTCTGCAGCTTCATTCCCAGGAATTCCTACACGAGCAGGAATCCATCCTAATATTATTTTGTTTATATTCTCTGTACTATAGATTAATTTATCCATTTTGTCTACCCATCCATTATCTTTCCCTTTTCCTATTGTTTTGGAGTTATTTATGATATTTTCTACGGAAACTAGTACTGACATTGAATCTGACAAGATTAAAATATTCTCCTTTTTGGACTGAATCGCCACTTTTAACGCATTATAAATTGCAATCGCTTCTGTCGTATATATTGTCAACGCCGTATTAACTGATAAACGTATTTTCCTAAATTCCTTATCTCTTTGCTCTATAATCGCTTACCCATTAGCCAGAGCGTTGGGGATTTTAGAGCCGTCCGTATATAGTACTATCGTCTTGTCCCTATTCAACTTGAATTTGTCCATGAAAGCCAGTGGGGCCACCTTAACCGGGATAGCTCCTCTTTCTATTTCCCTCCCTAGTTCCATCTCTACATGTACGTTCGTGATTGAATGACCACCGCCATCAACGGTGATTTTCCACGACGCGATCTGCTCATATAATTTATTCCTTTTCATAATGGTTGGTTCAAACGAGTTAACCAGATGAAACATTTTTTCCGCTATATTTGGTTGTGTTATTTTAGTGTACCACACTTGGTCGAGAACCGTTAAGTTTGCCTGTCTGTTGAATACTTCTTTTTAGAATTCTAACGTGATACTATCATTGCCTTCCTTTTCAAATTGTTTCGTCTAGTATTTGGCTGCTGCCATCCTTACCCTAAATTGTATCCCTATGAACCCGTTGTCCGCGTACATGACGTTGATAGGGGTGGTCATTCTGTATTCTATTGCAGCACGTAGAGCCGCCGACTCTACTTTTCTGATCTGTTCTTGTAATTCTAAGCTTGTATTAAGTGACAGGAAGATTGGTGCTCCATAATCCAACACAGAGGAGACTAGTGCTCTTACCAAGTTTAGTGCCCAATGCTGAGTGATGCCCCTCCCTATTGCCCCAGCAAAGATAATTAATGACCTTAACCCTCTTTTTTGCTTTACATACAAGATCTTTTATATGCGTTCGGAATGTTAAGTTTTGGTCTAACGTGACCCCGAGGAATTTGGCCTCCGACTGTGATTCTAATATAATTTTGTTATTAATTGGACCTATCTCTATTCTTATTTTGTTAAACTTTGTGTTATTGTCAAATCTAACTATTTGTGTCTTCTCTGGTGAGATTTCCAATTTTCTTTTTTCAAGATGTTCCAATAAGCCGTTCAAAGATTCTTCCGTATTTTTTTTTGCATTCTCTTCTGCTCTGTCTTTGTTTAAAATTGCAATATCATCTGCGTATATTAGTGACAAGGTGCATTGGTTATGTAGTTTTTCTCTAATCCCTGTAATATAAATGTTAAACAGTGTTGGACTCAGGATCGCTCCTTGAGGAACTCCTTTCCTCCAGTTGATTATCGACTTCTTACCTAAGGTATTTGTGAATTCAATTTTCCTATTTTCCAGCCAAGCATGTATCCATCTAATTATCCTATTTGGACATCTTTTTTTAATTAAAATATCTATCAAAATGTTTAAGTCTACGTTGTCGTAAGCTCCTTTTATGTCAACAAAAGTGGCTAGTGTGGTCTCCAGATTCCTTGTGTTCTCTTTGATTTCTGCTGAGATTCTGTATAAATTGTCCATTGTGGATCTTCCTCTCCTAAATCCAGATTGAGTTTTGTCAAGAATTTTAAGTTCGTCAGCCCACAGTTGCAGCCTTTTATTAACTACCTTCTCCATTACTTTGCTTGTACATGAGGTCAGAGTGATGGGTCTCAGAGCTTGTTTACCTGGTTTGTCCAGCAGACAGAGCTGTCCTATCTTCCAATCGTCTGGTACCTTTCCTTCTTCCCAGCTGTCCTCCGTTAATTCTGATACTAATATTTTCATGAATAATGGTAATTCCGACAAAGTCTTATAATCTATCTTGTCCAGTCCTGGTGCCAATTTTTTTTATTTTGCCTGCTTCTATTGCGTAGTACTTCTATGTTGCTTACTTCTTTATTCTATATGTCAGCATAAGGGAATTCCTGATATGAGTTTAAATGATGGTTTCTGTCCTTTAAAATCTCCGCGTTATTATTCTTACTTACCAGTTTTTCTATTTCCTGTGCTTCCAGTTCACCTCTTACTCTACAATCCATTTTAATTTTGTTTGTTGTAAAATAGTCCTTTAATCCTTTGACCTTTTCCAAATTTTAGTCAAATTTTTTTTTCTCGAAATTTCTTCCCTTAGATCAGTCCATTGTTTCTGCTTCTTTTCCTTCTTGAGTTTCTTCCATCTGTCCCTGAAACCTACCATGATATTGAAGTCTTCCGCAGTTCCTGTGATCTATAATTTTCTGTTACTTGTTTTCCAGTCTGTCCAAGCTCTAAGACATTCTTCGTCCTACCATTTCGCTCTATTACCTCTATTGTTGTTTTCCTTTGCTTGTGTGTTGATATTCTTTCTTGTCTTTCTTGAATTTTTCTCTTCCATTCTGCCATTCTTTTTTCTTTCTCCCTGACCGAAGGCATTAACCAGTTGTTCTTTCCAGTAGTGGTACTTCTCGTTAACTTCTTTTTTCTTTTGAAATTCCAGTTTGATTTCCTGCTTCTTGTCAGATAGAATTTGTCTTATATTTGACCAATTTACCTTTTGTCTATCATACAATGTAATGCTATCTTTCCTTACTTTACAGCTAAAGTTGCTTTGAATGTTTTTGTCTGTATAAAAAAGAGTCTCTATTATTTGATGATCTGAGCCCAGATCTATCCCTGATTCCCTTATTTCTATTTTGCCTACTGTTTGAATTCTAGTGATTATTAAGTCTATATTAGACGGAGATGTACCCTGACCTCTTCTAGAAATCGTGTTTTCGTTTACCACACATAGTTCCTTAAATTCCAATGCTCTGACTAAATTATCTCCCACCCAGTCGCTATTACTGCAATTTCATAGCGAATTTCTAGCATTAAAGTCTCCTACCAACATATCATCGTCTACTATATTGACTCTATTTAGACACGCTTTCCAGTCGTTGTATGACATTTTAATTTTATGCATTCTATAGAGAACTGTTAAATTGAGAATTTTAGTGTTCTCTTTATCCCATACGCAACATTTGATATATTCGTATAAATCCTCATTCTTGATTATTTCTAATGTTGTGATTTTTAAGTTATTTTTGGATATGATTACAATACCTGTACCTGGTTGTTTTTGGCCTTTCCTACCAATATCCTTTAAGTTATCGCTGGATATTAGATTATAGTCCTTAATTCTAATGAAATCGTAATTAGTAATCCAAGCTTCTGTAATGCATAGTATATCATAATTTCTAATAATAATTTTAAGTTCCTCTAACTTATTTCCTAGACTTCTTGCGTTCCAAGTTCCTATTTTTAACAAATTATTCATCTTCTGCTACTATTCGAATATAATGTGTGTTTTTGATCATCCTCTTTGGATATCTTGCGAAGAATTCCGGACATTTAAATACATGTAAATAACATCTTATCCTATTACACATATATAAACTGTCCTCTATGTTTATGCTTATATCCACAATTGTGGATATAAAGTTGACGGCTTTTACTTGTTTGTGCTCCTCCTTTGGCATGTCTGCGTCCCAGCTATCGTCGATAGGAGCTGGTGGGAGGGCTGGCAGATCAAGTATTCTTGTTGCAAACTTCCTCTCTCATGTGGGACCCACTAGTTAAGGGTTGCTCTTCTGTCTTCTTCCATTCCGGCATGAGTTTATCAATTTTGTTCGATTGATTCCAATCCTTGTAATCCTGTTTGTTTTGGTAGATGTCGTTTCTATCCGTGCTTCTGAAATTCTGTTTTCTGTATCCAGTTTCATTTCTTCTGTTTTTGTAAAGAAATGCCCTTTTCTTCTCCTCCTCCCTGCGTCTCATCTCTTCTAACTCTTCGTCTACTAGGTTCTCTCCGGTAATATGTTTAGGTAGTTCGCTGTAGTTGTACGATCTAATTTGCCTCTGTACATTCCTGTCTAGCCTTTTCAAGTTGGAATCTATCTTTCCCCACGTGTTTTCTAATTGTTCCTGGCTGTATCTGCCTCTTTTTTTTTAATTTCCTCAATACTACGTCCTCCAGTTCCTCTTCTCTAATCCACTGTAGTAATTGTTCAATATCATAATCTGAATGATTACCTTTTTTCCCTTGATCCATGGTTTTTTCCTTGTTTGGGCTACTTCTAATACTCTTATTGTTTGCCTTTACTTTATCAGCGTAGGTTACCTCTTCCCTCCTTGAATATCTTGCATCGTCTCCTTGGTCCTCTTCTCCACTTAGTGCTTCAAATCTGTTCTGCATTTCTAATCTATAGTTGTTTGCTTTGTTATTGTCGTTTCTTGTCTGGTGTCTGGGTTTTATGTGTTTCCAGAATGGATGTCGTAGCTCGCACGGTTGGTCCTCCCATTTTTCCACTATCACTTTTTTCTTTTTGAATCTGTTTAACGAAGGAAACTCTTTGTTATCTCTGTAAAACTCCTCCTTTTCGTCTGATTCCCTGTATTTCAAACGTTTGTCAACAAAACCCAGTTCAAGCATGGGTTGTTGCTTAGCCTCTTGGAATGATACGTTTTTGTAAGCCATAAGTTTGTTAATGGCCTTCTCTAAGACTGCGTAAGGGCAGTCTCTATTTAGTGCCCCGTGACCTTCTTCGCAGTTTATGCACTTGGCTTCTCTATTGCAATCGCTATGGAATGAATCGCCACAATTGAAACACCTTTTAGTGTTGCTCCTACACCATTTTTTAATATGCCCCAATTTCAAGCAGTTGTAACATTGTCTTATATTGCGTACGAACGGTGTTATATTCAGGCCGACTTCTCCCATAACTATCAGTTTCGTCGGCAGACTGCATCCCGCGAATGTTACTAGTGTAAGGTGAGAATCTCTCATCTCAAACTTTTTTTCAACTCTGACTCTTTTCTTTAGCCTCTCAATCGATATAACGCCTTGTCCTGGCTCTATCTCCTCTCTCAAGTCTTCCAATGGAAGATCCCAGTCTTTTACGACTTCTACTCTCTCCTCTGCGCGATGAGGAATAGACATTTTGAATCTATTTTTATCTAGAATTGAATATTTGTTAAATATTAATCTCCCGTGTTCTTCCTTTTTTACCTTAACTTCAGCAATGGTTTTTGTGACCATTTTAATAGACTCTATCAGATTTATGTCGGGCCTTAAAAATCTAAATATTTTAATATAATTCGCCTTTCTGTTATATGATAAAGGAGTTAGACCATTTTTAAAAACAACCTGAATTTGAAAAAAAGCTATTTCTGTTTTCTTGTATTCTTCTACTTGATTTTCTGGAAACTGCGACTCAGCCACGTCGTCGCCACGTGTTGAACATGGGAATACGAATCATATTTCTTACCTTGATCACGCCTGTACTCAATATTTACGTTATTATCGCTATTCGCACCTATATCCTTATCGTCTCTAACTATAATGTTCACTTTTTCGACTATTTTCACAGTCTTTATTACTGGTTTAACTTTCTTCGCTTCTAACTGCTTCGCTTTCGCTTGGTTTTCTTCTAACTGGGTTTCTTCCCCTTCGCTGGATTCTTCCCTTACTCTCTTGCTGCGCGCATGCTCCTTACTTCTTTTGTCGCTATATTTCTTGGGCCTCTCTTGCGTTGCTATTGGACGTTTTCTCCGTGCTGACTTCTCATTCGTTGCCTCCATGACTTCCGCACTCACATCTACCAATCTCGGCTGTACGCCAGATGTCGCTTCTTGCTTCTTATTTGCCGTTTTCATGTCGACAGTTCCTCTATATTCTTTTCTTTGACTCCTGGTTCCCTGTTTTCCAGTTTTTTGTACAAAAACTGCACTATTCGGCCATTGCCGACCTCCTAACTTTCCTCATCTCCTCACCTCTCTTGACTTTCACTTTTGAACAACTTTTTGTTAACTATTACCGCTTTGAAACCACTTAAACTGATCGAATTGTCGGGACTTTTCAAGCCGATGCTTTCACTTTAAGGGTGCGCAGGAGGTAAACTAGCGCCACTAACGGAGAGGAGGTGAACTACTATATAGTAAGCTGACACCACCAACGAACAGGTGGAGAATTACTAGATAGCTGGCAAAAAATTTGTATGACAATATGGCTACTTCGCTTTCGCGCTGTCCACTGCAGCGCTGTTGTCGTCTCTGCTGCGGTGTTGTGCCAGTAGTCTAAAGACGCTTTTCAGTATGGTTCAGTATCGTAGTAAGTTTAAAAAATGCCCGCGGTCATACAATTTTCTTTTAACTCTTTCAGTGCCGGGGGTCCTTGCTGCACTGGCGAGAAGTGCCAGAGCCGATATATCGGCCCGAACCTTGTAGCGTTTTACTATTCGCATTGCGAGAGAACTCTATATTGTCTGTATATT